GAACTTTCAAACAAGACAACGCAATTTGTCACCATGCACAATTGGTCTCAGATTAGAGCAATGAGTTCCATTTTCTATTTTGATCAACTCAGTCACCCGAGTGAGCATTTCTCGGGCGAAAAACAAAGATCCATTCAAAGCTTACAAATGTCATTATTTACATTGAACCAACTAAGGGTGTTATTATGTCAACATTAGCACATATTGCCAAGCAACGTTTCCAAAACATTTACACATAAAATTATTATGCTTGTGGTTAAAACTAGAGAAGAACCAACTCGATATTAGTATAGTGTTTCTGATAATTTGGCCATTCCGTTTATTTCTGTTTAATTGGGGCTTTGTTATGACAGTACAGTACAGTTTAGTCTCTACGGAGTGGCGTGCCTTTGGCTCGGCCAGTGAAAAAAGTTTTCTTTCCGATTCGGCCCGGGGGAAAAACTGTTGGCCATTTCTGATCTAAATCTAGATTAAAGACTGAACTATATTAAAAAAATGGTTAAAAAATAATTGATTGGTTATTTTTGTTTAAAGCATTGCTAGAGTTTGATATTAATGTTACGAGAACGTATGATTAAAAGAAGTTTCATATTATATGTGTGTTAAGTTATGGTCGATTACTATGGAAATTTCATTTTAATGAACAATAATTTGAAATAATTCAATTTTGTGTCAGGCTGGCTTCTACTAGGCCTCCCCATAACAAAACTCTGGCTACGCCATTGGTCACAACCTCTCTATAATCTTATTACTGGTATGTTGACAAATGGGTTTTCGACTGGTAATGCAATCCCTATTCTGTATTTACTTCCGTTTAAATATTCGTTACATATAATGTTTTCTCTTGCGGAAGAGATCAGAATCTCAATTTAAAATATTTATATCTCCAATGTTCGTTTTCCATATAAAATGGCGAATATGGTTCGAAATCGACAATATATTTTATAATCACATTCTGTAACGAAAATATTATATAGTTGTTCTTATTAATTATTAAAATTTGAATTACTTTTAATTACTATAGAATTATAATAATAATATTAATAAAAATACGTAGAAAGACTAAAATGTCTTCACTCTCGCCATGTCCAATAGTAAGGATATTTTACGTCTTTCAAATCTGTCAGCCAATTTTTTAAACAAAATTATAATAATATATTTTAGAATAATATTCTATAACAAACATCATAAGAAAATTCTGTTTTTAATTTTAATCTTAGATATAAAACAGCATTTAAAGAGGAAATATAAAAAATTATTTTAAAGAATCGAAGTATTTAAGTCTGCGTACTGTTTTAAACGCACAAAAAGTGTTTAGTATTTTTTTCTGTGTAATATTGATATAAAGTAGTCCCTTCCTAAAATTAGTATTGTATTGATTTACTTTCAAAATGATGACTCTACCATTTAAGGTTTAATGTTAATATAAATACGTCTCTTGACGTTAGTATTACTCAATCATAAAGTTTGTTTTAATAAATTTTAGGAAATAAATTCGTAATAGCAATTTATTCCTAGAATCGAATTATTATTTGTTATAATTAAAAATTCATTATGTACAAATCTTGGAGAAATCAATCCGAAAAATGAAAACTGTTGAACATCAGTTATTCCATTCTGAAAATTTTCACTCACATAACTACTTAATACGTAATTCTTACCTCATTACTCTTTTTTCTGTCTTCAATGTCATCGTTCGTGTCACATTGAAAACTTCCAATTTTATCATCATCATCATCATCATCATTGAAAACCGCACTCTCTAAATCAATGCTGTTTTCAGAGACTTCTTCCTTTCGTAATATTCCTGTATTCATTTGTAAATTTTCCAATTGTTTAAAATTTCCAATAAATTCACATTTCCCCTAAAATATATTAATCGCGTATATAAATACAATTGCCGGTATGTTTTTTTAAGTTATATATAAAAATATTGTATACGTGAAAATGTACACAAATTTAATTCCGAAATGTTATTATTGTATATCAATATTTACTGAATTTATCAGTAACAATTATCTCTAAAACGTGAACGTCGAACGTCGATGTTGTCAGCAGCGCTCGAAGTTCGCCGTTCACGTTTTAGACATGAAAACATCGGCCACATCCTCGGTATAATCTAATTACTGGTATGTTCTGGTTTTTTAACTGGTATTGTACTTCCTATTTTGTATTTACTTCTGTACATAGAAAGAAAGACAATGTCACTGTTTTCAAACTCACCAGTGTTCGGTGGATATAAATCATTTAACCCAGTCTTTTTTCAAAGATTTTTGCTTCACTCAAAGCTGATTTGATGCAGTTTTACAAATTTTCAAATTGTATCTACAAATAGCTGTCATTCTTTAGAAAACAGGCCCCCAAAATTTTTTATGGTACCTATATATTGTCCATATAGTATACAGTATACTATTATGCTATTATTATATATTATTTTTTAAGTTAATTATTTAATCAGTTCAATGAACTTCGTAACATTTTGTGTAGATTATTCTGAACTTTCGTGTTAAAATTCATGCGTTGTTAAAACAGATTAATTTAAGAATGTCGTTTTTACCGTAAAAAGTTATTTACAAAAAACTAATAAACAATTAACGTATTCACCTTCTTTAATGCTAAAATTTTACACGCAGAGTTTAAATATTGTATTTGATGCGTAACTAAAATGCATATCTTGTCTCTCAAATATTCCATTATACACCTGAAATAGATTGAAAGTTAAAATGTATCGAAATGTTCAAATAGTATATTTTAAATAATTACTTTTCGAAGATATGTTTTGCCACTGGAACATCGACAGCACTCAGTGGATCATCCAGGAGGAAAATATCGGCATCCACATATAGCGCTCTGGAAAATATAAAAATGTATCACCATAAATGAAAAAATACAATCATTCTTCTTCTATCGTTTAATAGTATTTTTCGTGTTTTATATTACGAAGTAAAAGAAAGGACGTCGAATAAAATATAGAACACCAGCACACGATGCTCCTACTACCAGGTCAAAAATAACCAGACTAAAGTGGTTTATCTGATAACAGATAAATATTTTATTTGTTTTACTTTTAACAAATACACCACGGGGAATTTAGAAAATATCAGTGCAAAGTGATACGATATACGTTTCGGTTGACACTTTTTATCAGTACGTAGTGACTACAGTCAAAACAAATATATTTATAAACAATATTTGAATTTATTAAAATGTATTTATTATTGCGGTATATTTGACTCATTCCTACTAAATTTGTACTTTTATATTTTCGCACATAGAAATATAATTTTAGGTAAACCTATCTTACCTCGCTAAATTAATTCTTGCCTTCTGCCCACCGCTCATTATCACTCCTTTTTCTCCTACGATTGTCAGATCTCCTTTCGGAAATAAGCTAATATCCTAAAAATAGTAAAAATAAACATACAAGATAATTATGTTCAACCTAATGTGAATTGCAATTTTACTAAAACTAAACATAACTATTGATTTCTAAAAGTGTTTGACTTATAGACGGTGTTTTGATAGATAAATTTATGTCTTTTGTATTCAAACTCACTATTTGGGCTGATAATAATTAATTTTATGTCATGCCTTCTATAACCGCTTTTTATTAAAGTTCAAGATTACGAAATCAACTTTTTTATTTATTTATTTTCATAAAAAATTGCTTTTGTAGTCTTGATCAAATCACTTTTCGTCTAGTAAAAATCATCTTACCTTTTCTAGAGCCGTTATATGCAAGACTTTTCTATATTTGTCTTCTTGATATTCTTCTCCAAACAAGATATTTTCTCTGATAGTTGCATTGAACACCCAAGCTTTTTGAGAAGCGTAAGCGATTTTTCCTTTTACAGACACTTCACCGGAAGTAATTGGAATCTCTCCCAACACGGACATTAATAAAGACGTCTATCGAAATTAATGTCGTTTCATTATTTGTAACGAAATGTTTTGCATAAATAATATAAATACTCTACATAAACATTTTAAAAGTATTTACGTATTTGTGTAAAAATATTATCTTAATTATTAATTGCTTTCTTCTAAAACGCATGCAATGTAAAGAGGTGACACAACATATTCTATGAATTCCTAACAGAAACCCTAACATTACATTCATGAATGTCTAAGATTTTATCTGCAAATAAACTTTCGTAGGATACATCAATTAAATCATAATGGATAATATTCCATTATGATTTAATTGATTATGCGTGCAGAATATTCTTGCGACAACGTTCGACGTGTGTTTATAAATTAATTTCTGAACTACACCAAAAACTACTCTGTCGTACATATAATCAAAGAAAAAAATAATGATATCAATAGAATCAGGCACTCAATAGTTAAACATATCAGTAGACACAATCTAATCTCTATTTTAGATGTGTCCGCTGAAATTTCAAAGTGATGATCAAGCATTATTATACAGTTCTGTATTTCAAAACTTATTTGTGCTAGTAACAACTTACAGAGTTAATAAATACAGATTGCAGACATTTCTAAAAATTAAATTGTTATAATGCTACACAATTAGAAATTATGCAATAAGAATAACTTTTACGTTATGAATAATTTTAGAAAATTTTCTAAGACGAAAGTGAACTAATAAAAATTTTTGTGTTGATAATTTTAGATAAAATATTAATGTCTCAATTGAATATGTTAAAGAGTTTAACACGTAATTAAACACTACTACATTTAGTTATTTGATCATTTTCACCTCTTATTAGTCAGTCATTATATGCAAACAATAAACGTAACAGAAGATTTAATAAATGATTAGGCACACGAGTTTCATAACACAAATACTTGTCCAACAGTTTATCTTTCTTCGTACGTGACATAATTAAGATTTGCCGTTTTGTCTGATAAGTACACAGAATGTATATTTATCAGAAAATGTAACCATTTATTTACTTCGTTTTATTAACTTTTTAAACAATCTTAAAATCATAAAATAGATAATTTTAATTTAAAATTTAAAACAAGATATTTACCTTCCCTGATCCAACAGGACCTATAACAATTAATAATTCTCTCAGCTGCATGTTTAGTGATATCCCATTTAATGTTGGTTCAAATTCCTTAAAAAAAATAAAGTTATTAAAAATAAGCACAGCTAACGTTAAAAGTTATAAATCAGAAATATTAATAATAACCGATAAATTAATTTAAGATAATGTCTCAGGCAAGCCAGAATATCACAGTGAACACACTTACTCTCTATACATAAAATGAGAAGTACATTGAGTTTCAAGACAAAAGAAATTCGTGGAAGCCTTTTCGAAGGTAGAAAGCTACAAAGCTAAATAAATAGAAGCCTGTAATAAAACCCTGTACATAAATTTTACATAATAGTTACATAATTCATATTTACGAGTTGATTATTTGTCTGTAAATTAGGAGCGAGCAAGGACAATGCTCATTGGGTACATTCAAAATGCCATAAAAGTCTTATAGAAAGCATCTATCACGAAGATGAGAAGACTTCTAAGGTCAATGTTTCACTTCTATGCTTTTACAATGAAAGGCAACCAATTTCTACACCTGACTTGGTTTATATCAGAAAAGAAACTCCTAGAAAACTGTGGAAGAACATTGAATGTGTCAACAGTAACTCAAAAACTGTCAGATGTTGAGCAGGCATCAAGTTCTAATAAATACATCTGATTACAAATGTAGTAATCATTTTTGAGACCAGATTTTTTTTACATTAAGATTTGCCATTTGTAAGCCACTCACGTTTTAAAATATTGTGAATTTTTAATATGCATAATGCAACGGTATCTAAATTTTACTAATAAACACACTGATTAATGCTAACTAAAAAATAATTATTTTATTTTTACCTGCAATGACATAACAAAAATATTGTTCGTTAAATTTATTCTCATTTTATTTAATTTAACACACCTGTGTCTTTTATGTAATGGGCCTCAGAATTTAGAAAACGATGAAATGTTTGTAGAATTCCAAATGAGATCCGCGAAGAGCGCATTCTGGAATTATCTTCGATGGAAAAAGCTTTTCCAATTTAGAAATCACACTCGTGATGAATACCCAGAAAAACTCCTCGCGTTCAACTCATCGGTCGAGTGTGAACCCTATACCAACTACCATTGGTCTATCTATGGTGTTATCCACTTATCCACTCGTAATCCAAAATATCCATTGTTTCGGATCGAATCTTAACAGATGTTGCTAATTATTCCATCACTTTAACAAATATATAATTTTTTGATTCATTTACACAAGCTGTGTTTGAATTTCAACACCTGGCGATATTCCATCTTTATTTACTTGATACGGTTATAAGTACAATAACACGTTTTGCGCACTGTCTCTCCTCAGTCAACTAAATATCAAAATATTACACATAAATTTGTTTTTCTATTATAGCTTAGCATAGAAATTATTTTAATATTAAATCAATAATTCTTTTTGCGTGACGTACTATAAATACTTTTTTAGCACAGAAAGCATATACAGTAGAGCGTGGATTATCCGAATCAATTGGGGACTGGGGTTGTTCGGAAGATCGATGTTTCGGATAACCGATTATGCACGAAAAAATATATTAATTTATCCCATTTTCACATTTTTCTCCGTTGCGTGTCGCTTCGCGTTGAATTTTCGTCGATGTTAAGCCTAACGAAGACTATTGTATCGTTAAAAATTATTTTTTTATTTTGTACAAACAAAATAAATATATTGAAAAATATAAAAACAATAAAAAATTATACTTCAAAAGTTAATTTAGTATCAAAAACGTAAAATATTTGAGTAGCCCAAGACATAGCCCAAGATTGCAGCGCCACAGCACTGACAAAAATTAAAATTTGCCGACTGGAATTCTTTCGCATGATTGACGTTTCTGATGATTAACTTTCGGATAATCGACGCTCTACTGTAAATTCATAGGACTGGCGTATTATTATATATCCGGTTTTGAACTTGAGCGGTTTAAAAAATTTATAAATTTGCGTTTTATTTTACATATTTGCCTATATAAATCCATAAGTTTTTCCACTTACTATTACATATCTTAAAATTCCGGATGTTCTTTTTACAATGATGTGTTTAAAATATTTGTGTATAAGTAAAACAGATTTTACAAGCGGTAATTTTACTCGCTCCTAATTTACAGACAAATAATAAACTTGTAAATATAAATTATGTAAGAATTATGTAAAATTTATGTACCGATACATAAATTTGTTAAAAGTACGTATCTGGGAATTAATTTCTTTAAAAAATATTTCAATGGTTTAAGGTTAAAATTCTTTTAAAGGGGTTTTAGTATTTCCAGCACAAAAATTAAAAAATTTTTTGGTTAATAAATTTTCAAGAGATTTTACAATGGATCACTTTTACAACTTAATTCCCAGATACGTACTTTTAACAAATTTATGTATCGGTACATAAATTTAACATAATAGTTACATAATTCATATTTACGAGTTGATTATTTGTCTGTAAATTAGGAGCGAGTAAAATTACCGCTTGTAAAATCTGTTTTACTTATACACAAAAATTTTAAACACATCATTTAAAAAGAACATCCGGAATTTTAAGGTATGTAATAGTAAGTGGAAAAACTTATGGATTTATATAGGCTAATATGTAAAATAAAACGCAAATTTATAAAATTTGTAAAACCGCTCAAGTTCAAAACCGGATATATAATAATACGCCAGTCCTATGAATCTATATGCTTTCTGTGCTAAAAAAGTGTTTATGGTACCTCACGCGAAAAGAATTATTGATTTAATATTAAAATAATTTCTAAGCTATAATAGAAAAACGAATTTATGTGTAATAATTTGATATTTAGTTGACTGAGGAGGGGCAGTGCGCAAAACGTGTTATTGTACTTATAACCGTATCAACTAAATAAAGATGGAATATCGCCAAGTGTTGAAATTGAAACACAGCTTGTGTTAGTGACTCAAAGAAACAAGACAACACGGTTTCAGAAGATTTAAAATATAAACTTAAAAAAGACAGTGACGATCACAACAATCTACGTAAAAATCCTTTTAATTGATATTATGCTTATGTCGTCTTTGCACATTCTTGTGTACTATGGGAGTCTCAATTCACCAGAATTTCCGAAGTAGACACTAATATAACATAATATAACTAATTAAGGACAAAAACCATATATTAACTTTCTAATTGATAATTGTTGTTATTGTTAATTAATCTATTTTAAAATTATCGAGTTAAACAAATCGTAAAGAACATTATTTTTATTGCAGAACTTATATTAAATTTGAAACCATGTCTTACGTTTTTCCACGCAGCTGTGACACTATGCATTCGTATCTCGTATTCGGTTGAATTTTCTCTTTCTCTTATAGTTTTGACTGCATCGCTCTCTCTTTCTTGAAGGAGGAGAAAATCCTAAATTAAAATATCAAAAATGAAAGTTTTAAATTAAAGTTTGTACACAAGCTGAATATAAACTAGGAGATTAAGTCGGTTTTCGACTTATCCGAAATAAATTACGTGCAATTGAAAAACTCCAGAAAAATTTTTAAACAGCTGATCTATCGATAAACACTTAATTTATTGATTAAGTGTGACATTAAATGGTTATGTTGATTTTCAAACTTTTTCAAGATAGCACCTATCGCCTGATGTTGGTAAAACTTGTGCTGAATAATTGTATATTACGAGTTCTCGGACATTAGACAAATGGGTTATTATAACAGCAAACAAGCCAAAGAACCAAACAAACTAATTTTTCCCTCTTGGAACTGCTGAAGAGTAGTGATAATATCAGCCTATCATTCTGGGTAATATTGAGATAAAAAAATTATCTATCATCTTGTGTCCATGATCATGTGACATTCGTTAATCTTAAATGATTCAAACCTGTTCACAGAATAGATTTGCATGATACATGGTAACGTTGGTAGAGAAAAACAATTTCATATACAAGTGGAATACTAATACCAGGATTTATTCATAAAAACTTTTATAGTTTTGTGTTGAAAAGATTTCGAGTTCGTTGTTAAATTTAACACAGAATATAGTCTATTTCGTAACTTCTCTCCTCTACACGGGTTTTCAATTTACTCAAATTTCGTTATGGTGGAGTTTTAATATTTGATATCTTTATATACAACAATATTAATAATTATATGTTGATATCTTCCAATCGTTTCTGAATTAGTATTGCAGTAATAAAATATGAAAAGAATAATTTTAAAATTGTTCCTTACCTGTATCCTTTTTAACGAAACTAAAATTTCTGCAACAAAACCCACTGCTTGAGAAAACAGATTGACAATATTGCTGAAGACATACACTGAAAAAGTCATTGTGACGAATATAATTTCGGCATTTAACTGTCCTCCATTTAAAAAGAATGCGAGATATGCGAGGAGAATGAATAATTTCGATATAGGATACGCCAATATATACGATATTCCGCTCGCATATAAAAACTGTCGAATTTTTTTCATTTCTTTCCTGCAAATAGAAACAATTAAAAATATTAAGTGTAGAACTTAAAATGTAATTATTTAAAGCTCAACACGTTAGCGTGTCTAAATTACAATGAAACCTGAATAAACCGGAATCAGATTGTGTGAAATATTTTCTCTAGTTTGGGATATTTATGCTCCGAAGAAAGATTATTTCTTAAAACAGAAACACGCTTTTGTAAAAGTTTTTTCTCATTAGGCAATTAATCGTTTTATTTCTGTTCCGTTTTATACGGATTTTAATATAGTTCATTGTACTTACACTCTGATTTTTTCTATTAATGCGGCGTATGACAATTCCCAGGTGTACATCTTGATTAACCTCATATCAGCAATCATTTCGTTCAACAGATTCAATCTTTTGTCCCCCAATACAGCTGCTTGTAATCTATTATGGAATTATATATATATATAAATATATACTCTTATGAAATGATATAAAATTGAATACTGGACGTACATTTTATATCTAAAGTCAATGTTACATTTAAGCAAAGCCCTATATTTTTCTAGCACTAAACATTATAAAAGTTTTGTTTGTGCTATTTCAACAACTTTTTATACTAAATTCTTATGAGAAAACCAAGCACGATATGCAATTTTTCAGATAAAAAGCGAATGTGTAAGTTTTATTGGATGAATTTTTTATATAATTTTAGTGTGAGAAGCAAATATCCAAGCATGAGTACAGTACACATTGATTCTGGTCGAAATATACAAATCAAATTATACGTAAAAAAGGTTTTATACTGTGTTTTCATAATTTAATTACGAACATGACAGTAAAATTCCAAAATATCCAGTTTTTCGCTATGTCCCAAAGACGTCATTTCGGTGATGGTCAAACATGATTGGCAAGCCTTGGAAAGGCTAGAATCTGATCAAGCTATTGAAAAACCTTATCAATTTTTCAGTCAGTCATTCTGTAATTTATTCGTGCACCCAATTCCAAGTTATTGGAACAGTAAGCAGAAGGCCTGATTGAGTCGCTATCGAGTTAGAACATCTTCCAATGGTTGTTACCTAGTATTACAACAGAAGGGCAACAAACTTTATTACGTGCAAGTCTAGTTGCATCTACAGAAATACTTAAAACTGTGACTACTGTAAGGAGACATTGCGTGCACATGACTTTTATGCGCGAAGCCCAAATATTTCTGTTTCATTGTTTTTCAGGCAGAGAGTAGCCGTTTACAGTTGCTTCAGGAATCAGTCACTTCGAGTAAACACGATTAGAGAATGTTCTGTTGAACAATGAGTCATCATTTGCTCTACAGTCATCAACAAGCTTTCGTGTGAAATCCGGCTAATTGACGGAATCAATCGACGAAGTTCGTTTTGCTGTAGGAAGGATAGTGAATAATGTGGGAGAAAACAAATGAAACAGTAACAGCAAGGGATGTATATAATTAAGATTTGTTAACGAAGATAATACAGATATTACAATAATTGAACATATAATCGATTAATTTTTAAAATTAAATATATAAAGTAAACCTGTCTATGGCGACCACCCACGGTTCCAGCAAAAAGTGGTCTTTTAGACAGGTGGTCGTCTAATACAGGTGATGCTGTAATACTGTATTTCCGTAAGTATTTTGCGCACTTTTTAGCCATTTCTACTGAGCAAAACTCGATGTGTACAAAAATAAGCTAATTTTTTCAATTATAGGGCTATAATGGTATTGTACAGTATTTTATTCTTATCGGAAAACTCGATTTACGGGAGTCGTCGTGATTTTATAAGACAGATTTAATACCAATATTTTAAAGATTAATACAATAGTCGCATTTACTCGATTATAACGCAAACTTTTTTCAGACTTAATTAATTGGACTGGGTTGTTTTCGTTTGCTCCTCAATTACGTATATTGCGTCATCGATATACAAGCGCGTGGTATCTCTATATCACTTTAGTTCTGCTATTCGCTAGTTTAATCTTATTTTAACGTTAAAAATACTGTATGTTTTAATATTTAATATTTTCTTAAGTACAATAAGAAAAATTATTAATTAATAATATCATGATTATATTATTTTTTCTCATTATGCGATTTCATTACATTCCAGGATTCTTATTGCGGAATCGAAAAAGGACGGTTGCCTGAAAAACTGACGTTTGCATTAATGTGTTTATTATTTTTTAAATATTTTGCATGCAAAAATTACTTGGATATTATTTTTCTAAAAATATCTGGAAATTAGGTACATTGATACAGAAACGATTTATCGCACAAGTACTGTATATGAGGTTCAAAATAAATGAATAAATTAAATTAAATTTTATCAAACGATGAGATCAGCCGATAAATTGTATCGTGTACAATATATTATACTCCCAAGAAAAATACTATAGGTCTACAGTAAAATCAATTTCGTTTTCTCACAGTTAAACTTCGCCGCTAATTGCTGTTGTGATAACTTTAACACGATCTTCTAACGACAGCACTATGCATTTCTTTCGTTTCTCGGACAATTTCGAAAAACTGAAATGAATTTCCTTTGTTGCTATACTAATTCATTAACACCTGCACCTAAATTCCAGGGTGGGAGAAGTGCTCGAGGTGGGTTCGAACGAGAGTTTAGACTAATTCATTATACTGTATTAGGAGGGTGAAAATGTTGTTGAACAATAGTTTAGACCAGATATATTCGCGGAAGTGGTTGCTTATTTCAGTTGTCGTATGTTGTTTCGGACCAAAAATCAATGCTTACGGTCGTGTTATACAGGTGGTCGTTTAATACGGGTAACTTATACAAAGACTCTGTGGATAAACTATTCGGTGCCAGAAATTTTTGTTCGTTTTGACAGGTGCCCGTCGAATGCACGTGGTCGCCTAAGCAGTTTTCATTGTATATGTTACTTTAAGTTAAAAAAAATATTATTTTAACATGAAAATAGTCAAAATAGTTGCAATATTAAAAAATTGGGGCGGTAAATATTTTGCTTTTACTAGATTGTAAATTCAATGTAGTTATTGTACTGTACATTCGTGACGCACAATAACAGTGTATCAAATTTCAACTTTTAACTCCTAACCGTTTGGGATCTGCGCTTATTATTATTATGTTGAGTTTAGCTCGGTAGACGTGGCTGTGTACTGTCCCGGATCAGAGACAAGGTATAGCAACCAAACAAAACTAAAATTAAATAAGTGTGTCAGTATCTGTATTCAAGAATTTTCTAACAACATGGCATGTATTAAATATAATTGCCTTCTGTAGTGTGTTCTAGTTCTATTCAATTGTAATATTCCCAGGCTTTGCAAAGTGTGTGTGTGGTGTCACATTCATAGAGGAAAAAAACAACAGGTACAATAAGCACTCTATCCATATCCATATTCCACAGATGCCTGTTTCCTGGGCAATTTCTGTATATTTGCTAATTATTTCTGTAAATGTGTTTTGTATATTGCTAGTGTTTTGAATGGATATGTCTATAATGTAGGACCTACACAATAAAATCACTTACAATGTAGGTAATTTTATTGTGTTTGTTAGAGTTACTGCTTTATGTAACTGTGATATTTCCTGTCTTTTGTAGAAAAACTCTCGCAGTGATTGCATTTGTATGTAGTAAAGATTAACTATGTCAATCATGCCACGTCTGCAATTTTTACGTACAAGAATTAATTTTTCTGTGGAGGATTTAGGATGATGTTGTTTCTGCTTCGTAAGTGTTGTTCTTGTTTTCCTTTGGAGTTGCTCAAGATCTGTGAGAGTCCAATGTATGTGACTCCAAAAGAGTATGTGTGTTCTGGGATGATATACGTGTTTATTGCTTTAACTGTAAGTTTTGCATTTAACTGTGTTATGGGAATAACATTTAACTTAATTAAAATGCCTCAATGTCCTTGACTTACTGAGATATAAATTTTTGTCTACAAGTACATAACTTCTAATATCAGGATTTATTATACTGGCTTTACAGATAATGCTACAGAGTTGCACAGAAAACAATTAAATAAAATAAAAAATTGTTTGCTGTGAAACTCTGTAGCATTATCTGTAGCATTATTCGACCGGATTCGAACCCTAGCATCCCCGATCATTTTGATAACATGTTGGCCATTTTACCATTTCTAATAGGCCTACGAGCTAATGTAGCATAGATATCGATTAAGTACATAACATTTTAAGTATGTTAGATACACCGATTCTATTTCTTTTAAACGTTATAAAGTAAATAATTATTACATTATTTTATTTACAGATACTGTACAATTATATAATTTAAAATAATAATTACCTCAATTTTGAATATAGTTTACTCAAAGCAATTTGTATAGGAAGATAGAGAAATATGACTAAGTATCCAATTAGAATAGTCCATCCATAATATTTCCACAACATGACTATCGAAGTAATGATAAAAAACGGCGATGTAAATAAAAGTGATACGGAGATAACTTTCTGTAAGAAATAGAAATGTTATAAAGGCTATACCTAATAACTATTTATTTGATTAAAATTAATATAAATTTTAATATAATTATTTTTGAAATCATAAATTAGCCTATATGATGAACCTATTAAGCATGCATGTACTACTTTTGTTTTTACAGTACAAGATCTTTATTGTCGCAGTACCAGAGTGTCGAAGATTATTGAAAATGGCATTTTACTGTATTTGTGTATTTTCCAAAAATTCTTTAGTTATATGTGTTCTCAATGTGGCAGATGGTATATTTTGTATGTTAGCATTTTATTGCATTTTTGAATCGATTATCTCCACTGCTTTATCGCTGTAAAGATTACAGACAGCATGTCAATATAGATTCAAAATATGATTGAAAACCTTGTAAAACTTAAAGGAATATGTTATTGCAGAGAATCCATATTCTCCAATACATGACATTCATATTTCAGGCATACAGTACATACTGAACTGTCCCACACATTTTTATGTACTCGCTAAGAGTTACAAATGGATACAAATGGACCTTTTACAAATAGATATAATTTCAGAAATGATGTCATTGCGAAAAATTGCCCCGTTACAAAGGCAATGTTTTGACAATAAATTTCATTTAGATAATAGCGTATGTCTGTAGACCAGGGATTCTCTCAGTAATATTGATGACAAAATTTTTTGTCATCGATATTACTGAAGATACATTAAAGCGACATTTTGTCTGAAATGTTTTTGTCGAAATTATATAATATATCGGCGAAACATATGGGTTCACGTGGTATACATTAATTAATCAAACATGTTGTTTAGAAAATTGTCTTTAACTTACATTTAGGAATTTTCCGACGTCGTTTGCTAGAAGATTTACCATTTGTCCAACATTCGACCTTTCCATAGATGAAGGACTTAACTTAATTGCCTGCAAATGGAAGTTTTACATAGAATGAATATTTTTAGAAAATTATATCATCATTAAAAAAATACGAGAATAATATTTCGTAAAGTTCTCAGACAAACTAATTGATTAAATTTTCTAACAATATAGACATGTCTAAGTTATAAATCATCATCAACTTCCTTTGATATTCTGCAGTTAAACTCTTTCGAGTTTATTTTATATGCCTAATAACAATACTCAGCATATGATAATCCGTATACTCTTTCAATAATAATTAGTAATTAAATAAAAAATTTCCATGACCTCACCGAGGGCCATTACTTTGGAAGTGTTGTCAGCAGCTGAACAGGGTCTATTAACCAAACTGCATCCCACAAAGTGAGAATCCTATGTGAATGATTTCGTTATACATTTAAGATATTATCCTGTGAGATAAATACTAATTTTAACAAATTGTGCAATTTATAAGTACTACGATTCATTCACTTCGATCACATCCATTTTCTAACATTGTATAAAATGTATTTATTATTTCAAATATTTATTGTCATTAGGTTATCAGTACATTGAAATGCAGCATTCGACCGAGTCTTGATAATCGATGCGGCTTTAAGAAGTGTCATACTACAACTGTTCATTTTTGTGAAGGTGACTCATTTGAAAAAATTTCTTAATCGAACAGAAGTCACATAAAATGCTGTACATATTACCAAGATAAACTAGGCGTAGCTGTAAATATAAGTTTAATAAAGAATTTTCAAGACATATGTATAGTTAACTCTTTCCTCTCTGTGGGCACTAAGAAAGTCCCTTTTAGCAAGCTCATTATGGGTTTGGCCAGACCCACAATGGGGTGGCTGGATAGTGAGGGACGGAAGCCCGACATATCCAGATGGACCACTTCCGAATAATTTTTGGGGATAACAGCATACATGATAACATGAACAATCAGGGATATCTTCAATTAAAAATTGAATTATGACTATTTACATAAGTTTTTTAATCTTTCGAGTGTATCTTTCATTCTTTTAACACACCACCGAAGTAACTGTATTTGCTTGGATGAACTTCCACAGAACACGTGATGAATTATAACGAAACACACACAAAGTTAAAAATGATCGAAACGCCGATCTTTTATTCTGTGTTCTGTGGAAGTTCATCCAATCCAATATACAGTTACTTCGGTGGTGTATTAAAAGGATTAAAGATAAACTCCGAAAAATTAGAAACTTTTTTGTAAATATTCATAATTAAATTTTTAATTTCTGGGGACTTTTCGACCCGTTCGAATACGAACGGGTCGAAAAGTCTCCAGACGCAACTATTTTTATATTTTTTTGCCTTTCCCCGCGTTTCTTTATGCAGCGAGAGTGAAGCGAAATGACGTCACTAGCAGTGTTGGCCAATTAGAAACCAGCTTCAGTGTGTTCGCTGTAAAGCGCTTGTGGAGCGCTGCATAAAAAAACGCGGGGTTTCTATCTAAAACCAAATGTATATTTAAATTAGAGATGTAATTAAATACTACAATTCAATTCTATAAGCTTATTCAAAACCATTTAACACCCGATAAGCGTAAGATAATTTTATTACAGGTTTTTGCATAAAAGGCAAAATTCAATTATGACAAATTGTAATAATTGTTTTTACTTCTATTAGAACATTTTTGCTTACTTTTATTAATTATAAAGTAATTATTTGTATTACTTCTCTAAGTCTTCTATAGAGCCAAACCTTGGAGCTCACGTATAGAAATATAGTAGTATATGGACGAAAAGTAATTTGCTAATACAGAATTAGTGTAGCCACACCTAGAAAACCTTATTGATTACTAAACCTATTTCTTGACAAAATAAGGGCTTGTATATGGTTTATATAAACTACAATTTTATTTCTTTACAATATATTTTAAATTACTTTATAAAAAACAAAATTACACAACTATCGATTGCTGAAAAATTCCTTTTGCAAATAGTTTGCATTTGTCTTTAATTTATTAGATTAATTTAATAAAAAAAACAAACACGTAAAAAAATATAAATTTAATGCCTATAACACATTATATTTGCTACTCACCTTTCTATATATAAGAGTGCAGAAAGCTATCTTTAACTTCATTCCATATAATTCAGTTATAAACGCACTAATATTATATATACAGAAATAAATCGCAAGTAGAATAAAAAATCCCGCAAATGTAGCATACAACTTGTATTGATTCCGTTCCTCTCTGTTTTCAAAATAATTTATTATTAATCCTACGAAGTATGCATGGCCTGCAGCTAACGCTGTCATCTGCGGACGAACATAAATATCAGTTATTTGAATTATTTTAGAACATTCTTTATGTCGTTTAAATCAAAAAAATATAATTTCTAAAAATAAAAGATTATCTTTAAATAAGATAAACGAGTAAAGTAAACACTCTTTCTTAAACCGATTTCGAGTAATTTATATCAGCAGACAAATAATTAACAAAGATACTATACTTCATTTATTATTTTCAAACTTCTCAAAAAACTCCCGAAATGCATTTCGCCGTTACAGCCTCATCGGTGCGATGCATTATTTTCATAATTTGTCTGCTGATATAAAATTACTGAAAATAATAAAAGAAATAATGTTGGCTGAAGTATAGTACGTTTGTTAATTATTTGTCTGCTGATATAAATTACTCGAAATCGGTTTAAGAAAGTGTTTATTTTACTCGTTTATCTTATCTAAAGATAATCTTTTATTTTTAGAAATTATATTTTTTAGAACTTTCACCGATCCCATTGTTTTATATTTTTTATGATCAATCGTTTAAATCAGTTGTCGTAATACCTGAATGAGTACAAGTAGAATAATTATTAAGTATCTCCAACCAACAAAACGTAATAAAGCTTTCAGTATGCTGGAATTCTTCTTCTGCAATTCCTGGTTCCATTCTCTGAAATAAAATTGCAATGAACCTAAAAATTAAATACAATATTTCAATCAACGGATTATTCTAGAACTTTTGCACAACTATGAATCAATGTTATGCTCTTAACACAATTATGATAATTTTTTTTCTGAAAATACAGTAAAAGGTTATTCACGTAAGTAGTAGTGGTTTCAGTAACACTACTCACAAAATTAATTTCAGATGTCAATTAAATTAAAAATGCAAATAAAAATTTGTTGAATAGAATTATTTCAGATCACGAAATTAATTTTTTGAGTAATTTACTATCGAATAAATTAAAAATGCAGATAAAAATTTGTTGAATAGAATTATTTCAAATCACGAAATTAATTTTTTGAGTAATTTTCTATCGAATAAATTAAAAATGCAAATAAAAATTTGTTGAATAGAATTATTTCACATTACATAATTAATTTTATATAATAATTTCAGATCAAATGATGAGGAATGATAATTTTAGTATTTAGAAAACTTTTTAGTTCAGTTCATTGCTTCATATAAAATTAATCTGCAATAATAATTTTTACAATTTTTTTTAATATCCGAGGAAATTAAAACACGACAACTTAAAATAATATTTTAACAATAAGACAAAGTAGAATAGGGGAAATAGTTCAATATAATAATTATTTAAATTATATTTGTTATTTATTTATTTAATATTGCAACGAGAACAATGCTTTTTTTATAATATTTGTGGCAATAACAATTTTTTAAATATCTGATGTTTGACACAGAAGAAGTTTGATGTGTAAATAACTGTAGTTACAGTTTTTTAAAAAAGATTTCTTTTTCCTATCTATTTACCTTTAAATAAAAATAATTCGTTATACATTGTGAAATGATTTAATAACTTTTTGTAGATTACTATGTTTATTTCCAACCAGTTATATCCGATGTTTTTCATCTAAAAAATTTAATCCGTGAATTTATTTGCTAGTAAAATTGACTTGCCATTGATCTTTCGCCTATAATTGATACTTTTTAACAGAATCTATATAAATGTCTATTACAACTTCTATAATACTGTGTAATGCTTTTATGGCCAACTGTCGGTAAATAATTTCATGCTCTTTCACTTGAAATGCTTCAAAATCTATTAGAATCGCATTCTGTAATTTTATATAAATAAAAATTAGGATTAGTATTATTTTATATTTAATAAGAAAATAACGAAAAGATTTCATCGATAAATATTTTTTACTAACCATATTGAATGTTTATTGATATACCAAACGTCTTGTCTTCCTATTTTTGATATTATAACACGATTATATTCAATTATTTCATCCATTTTATCAAATTGTTAATGTGAAATCTGTAAAAATATAATTCTTAAAATTTATATTGTAATTGAATTGAAATGAAACTTATGTTTTTAAAATTAAAAAAATTTAGTTACTAAAATGAAATGAAAGTAAAAAATTATAAAGTATAAGAATTTAACTCAAATTGTACAGTAGCAATAATAATAATATTAAAAAAGTGTCTTTCTTCAAATCAAATTTAAACTGTGTGATCAAACAAACTCATTAATCTTTGAATTACTATATGGTTTAACTAATAAACTATAATTAAAGATATTAAATTTATAAAATGAAACTCTGATTATATACATTTTCGTTTTTTTTAATTATGAACTCATATAATAATTTAAATCGAGGTGAGATATCAATAAACTTTAAGAATAAATTTTACAACAGTAAGGTAATTTATTTTAAAAACAACTTAATTAAATAAGTTAACTAAAAACATAATAAAATTGTAACACTATCTGTATTAGTTATATATTAAAGTATGTACAATTAGATTAGTTTTAAATATATTTTAATTAATTTCTATACATTTAAATTTATATTAACGAGTATTTATTTAAATATAATTAAGAAAGAGTTTAAAGAATATTAGACTCGAAGAAAACGAACCTCTGATTGTAATTCCTTAATATTTTGTTTTTCATATGATAGATATAAACGCTACAAAATAACTATAGAATTTTTATATGTCTAACTGTTAATTTTTTAAAAATAATAGACTCATTATAAAAATTAGTTTTACCAAACTCTTTAGAATGTTCTGCTGCCAACCTAAACCCCCAGAACAATGTTTTACACAGATATTTTCATTGTGAACCGCAAATGCCTCGAAATCACTGTTAAAATAATACTAAAATCCTACTAAAATAATACTAATAATAAATACTTATTTTCAAAATTCATTAAAACAGAATTCTATATCATATGAAACTAATTCAGTAATATTTTAAGATCATTTTTCAATATAACAAACACTTTCAAAAAAAAAGTTATACGAAACATGTTATGTATTTATTAAAATAATAAGTCAATGAACTTTACTAAACCTCTAAAAGACATTTTAAACATCCACATAGTTGTCTAAATGATTGTTCATTGCATCGAATTTTACTACCTCTTTAAATCGATTCTTATATATTTTTATGTTAAACTTGTGAATCTTTCGAAGATTTACTTTTATCTAGTTATTTCAAGTCAAACTTTTTGTCAAAGACAAACTTTTAAATAAAAATACTTACTTTCTGAAGACGGTTTTCTTGTATAAGAGGTTCTTGCAAAAAAAGTTCTCGGCGAGGTATCGAACAAGTCTCTTATACGTAGTATTTATACAATCTCTTGACTCAAAAACAAAGCACAAAGGATATTTCAAATTAGCAACTTTGAAAAACAAGTATTGGTGAAAGAATTTTTGAAATAAGATGAGTAGTTTCGGAGATTACCCCCTTCATCCAAACTTACAAACATTTCCTCTTTATCTATCTAAATATATAAAATTGCTTGTCCCGACTGACTGACTAAATGACTCACTCACTCACTCATTGATTCATCATCGCCCAGATCAGACCGCTTAACGTAAAGAAATGAAATTTGGTAGACAGTTAGGGTACGTCATGGAAACGCACAATAAGAAGAAATTTCTCGAAATTCCCCCGCGGGGAGAAAGGGACAGGATTAAGGCTTAATTGAAAGAACGGCTTCTACTGTACTATTTTAGATGCGATGTTTTGATTTTATCTGCGTTTTAGTAGGGTACGCCATGGGAATGCACACTAAGAACCGATTTTTCGAAATTCCCCCCGCGGGCAGGAGAGAGAGAGACAGAATTTAGTCTTCATCGAGTACTTGGGTGAATTAAATTGATAACATTTCAGACATTGTTATAAATATTTTTATCTATTTCGATTTTAAAAATGTTCCAACCGTTTTAAATTCGAATTTGTTATTGCATATTGGTTCGATTATAGAACGATTGTAAACGTTCCAGAAAATTGATCAAATTGAAAACAGTTCGTTTGATTCTCGGCGATTCTCATCATTCTCAGCGGTAGGTGTTACATAACAATTACTATAGTTGTTGAAATACTGAATATAAACGGGGTTTGCTTGCAAAATCCGCGCGGGCAAATCCGCGAGTAACAGCTAGTACAGTAGAGCGTCGATTATCCGAAAGTCAGTTATCCGAAATAATTCCAGTCGGCAAATATAAATTTTTGCCAGTGCTGTGGCGCTGCAATCTTTGGCGATGTTTTGGGCTACTCAAATATTTTTCGTTTTTGATACTAAATTAACTTCNTTTAATTCAAATTTGTGATCAGAAAATTAAAACAAATTTTTTAATTTTAAAAATATGTTTCACATTAACAATTTGATAAAATGGATGAAATAATTAAATGTAGTCGAGATATAATATCAAAAATAGGAAGACAAGACAAAATTTGGTATATCAATGAACATTCTATATAGTCAGTAAAAAGTATTTATGTATGAAATTTTTTAGTTATTTTCCTATTAAATATAAAATAATACCAATCTTTATGTTTATGTATATAAAATTACAGAATGGACATTAACAATTTGATAAAGTGGATGAAATAATTGAATATAATCGTGATATAATATCAAAAATAGGAAGACAAGACAAAATTTGGTATATCATTGAACATTCTATATGATCAGTAAAAAGTATTTATCTATGAAATCTTTTCGTTATTTTCTTATAAAATATGAAATAATACTAATCCTAACTGTTATTTATATAAAATTACAGAATGCGATGTTAATAGATTTTGAAGCATTCTAAGTTATCGACAGTTGGCTATAAAAACATTACACAGTTCTATAGAAGTTATAATAAAAATTTGTATAGATTCTGTTAAAAAGTATCAATTATCGGCGAATCAGTTTTATAGCAAAAAAATACATTGATTAAATTTTCGACAACTAGCTGTTACCTGCTGCTTTGGCCGCGAAAATTTTGCAAACAAACCGTATTTATATTCACTATATCAACAACCATAGTAATTGTTATTTAACACCTACCGCTGACAATGATGATAATTGCCGAGAATCAAACGAACTACAGTAGAGCGTCGATTTTCCGAAAGTCAATCATCCGGAAGAATTCCAGTCGGCAAATTTAAATTTTCGCTAGTGCTGTGGATTTGCAATCTTTGGCAATGTCTTGGGCTACTGAAATATTTTACGTTTTTGATACTAAATTAACTTCTGAAGTATAATTTTTTATTATTTTTATATTTTTCAATATATTTATTTTCTTTGTACAAAATAAAAAAAAATTTTTAACAATACAATAGTCTTTGTTAGGCTTAACATCGACGAAAATTCAACGCGAAGCGACACGCAACGGATAAAAATTTCGACATTGGATACGTTAAACTATTTTTTTGTACGTAAATCAGTTTTCCGAAATATCAGTTATCCGGATAACCCCAGTCCCCAATTGATTCGGAAAATCGACGCTCTACTGTATTTTCAATTTGATCAATTTTCTGAAACGTTTACAATCGTTCTATAATCGAATCAATATGCAATAACAAATTCGAATTTAAAACGGTTAGAACATTTTTAAAATCGAAATAGATAAAAATATTTATAACAATGTGTGAAATGTTATCAATTTAATACACCTAAGTACTCAATAAAGATTAAACGTAGTTGAAAACAAAAAATCGCATCTAAAATAGTACAGTAGAAACCGTTCTTCCGGTTAATCCTTAATTCTTTTCCTCTCCCACCGCCGGGAAATTTCGAAAAATCCCTTCTTTGTGCGAGTTTTCCTGACGTACCCTAACATTGTCCCAAATTTCACTTCTTTAGGTTCAGCGGTTTCCTCTGGTCGATGATGAATCAGTCATTTATTCAGTCAGTCAGGATAAGTAATAACAAATATTTTAAAAAGCAGTTTTGTTTATGCGATATTCTATCTTACGAACAATTCTTAATTAAACAAAACACAAATATTTTCAAAATTAATACATTGTATAGGTAGGTATTTAATAAATAAGTAACAAATATACTGTAATTTAAATAATTATTATATAAAATTATTTTTTTATTTTACTTTGTGCTATTGCTATAATATTATTTCAAATTGTCGTGTTTTAATTTATTCGGATATTAAAGCAAAAAGAAGAAATTGCAAACATATTTTAATAATTCTCAACCACATCGGATATTAGTACAAATTGTAAAAATTATTATCGCGAATTAATTTTATATGAAGCAATGAATTAAACTGAGAAGTTTTCTAAATATGAAACTTTTTTTTTTTTAAGAAATGAATTGAAAAGTTTCTTAAATATTAAAATTATTTATAATCTTAATTTACTCGAGAAATTTTTTATTTGAAAATAATTTATATCCTGAAAAATATATTTAAAATTATTAGGTGCAAAAATTTCTTGCTTTAGATAAACTGTAGAAAAAAGTGGAAACACTTGAATAAACTGTAACGTAAAAATAAAAACTTTTTGAAAATAATTGCAGTGTTATATTATTTCAAATTGTCATGTAGCAGAATATTAAGATAAATATCCATCGAAAAAATAATTAATTCTAGTATTGATGATAAAATTATTAATCGACCAAATTATTTCTAATTTTAATTTATAAACTATCAGAAGTTAGACCAGGAGTATGTCACGTTTTAGATAAGGTAAATGAAAAAACTGGAAAAGCTTAAATAAAATAAAACTTATTCGATCTATTCACGTAAAAATAAAAAAAAACAAATTCGTTTTAGTATTATATTATTTCATACAATTATTGTGTTTTAATTTTATCCGATACTAGCTGCAAGGAGTCGCTTCGCTGGGTTTTTATTTGTGGGCAAAAAGTAACGATAGTGAAGATTAAGATAATTACATTATAGCCAATCTTACCCGTTTTCACAAAATGCAAAAATTAGGTCCCCCGTTTCCAGACTAATTAGAGAATTTTTACATGAGTCTAAAAATATGTTTGATTTCCCGCAAAAACGCAAAAAACCGCCTGTAAATCTTGCATGCCACTTTATATTAACACTTCCTTTCTTACTCAACACTTCCATTGTTAACATTTCCATTCTTAACACTTCCATTGTAACACTTCCACTGTTAACACTTCTATTGTTGACACTTCCATTGTTACACATCTTCCAAGTCAACCACTTTAAGCCCCCATATCTCCCGCACCTTATAGCTATCGAGATGCAATCACCACAGTGCACGAATGGAGACTTGGGGCTACCACCACATACAAACATCATTTATGTGCGATGTGTAGTTTTGGCTAAAAAGTGAAATATAGGGACACACACGTCTATTTTTAAATATATATATAGATATAGATATAGATTATAACATTAAATAATTAATACAGAATCTTTACCTTATTATTACAAGATATTTTATGAGAAATAAAATGAAATAAACTAAAAAGTTTTCTGAATAATATTTATAATTTTAATTTATCTGAGAGATTTTTAATTTGCATTTATTGCAAATTAATTTTATAATAATTAGAAAAAGTATATTAAACTTTGTCTTATTGTGAAAATAAAATTAATTTAATTAACATCTGTGATCGAAAAATTAATTTTTTGATCTGAAATAACTACATTCGACAAATTCTTATTTGAAATCTTATTTTAATTTTAAAAATTATTTGTAATTTTAATTTATTCTAAATCTGAAATTAATTTTGTTATCAAAGCTCCCCAAAACACTTCTATCCAATCCAAAGTTTTTAACACAGCTGCTTTATGTATCGACACACGAATCTATGCAGAAATGAAATTTTTTTCCAGGGAACAAAAGCCAAGTCTGTTCCACATTTCCAACAAGTGTTACCTCTAGGCAATATCCTTTTGAATTTTAGTTACGAGTTTAACCACGTGGCACCTGTGAAACGTCAGCATTTTTTCATTCAGAAACTCTGCGTGCTGTGTTCAACTCAAAACTTTACAGAATATGTTCTTGACATTGAAAAGTTAGAAAATTACGGATTTTTTTCATACCTTTTAAAAAATTTTTTATTGAAAATCTCTTTACGCATTTAACATTGTAGCAGCGTTATAACTTATAAAGTACTTTACCGGACAGATCGACTAATTCACCTAGTTTATGTATTTAACAGCACTAAATGTAATTAATCATTCACCTATTTATAAGTATGAAAATAATAAAATAATGTGTTTTGTAGATTACTTCGCCTATAAAAAAAATTTCAAGTAAAAAAAATTTGAACGGAATATAGAAAATGTAAATAATACTGTACTTGAGATTCCAGTAAACTTTTTACTGTAAATCAAATAAATATTATAAATTTTAATTTTGCAATAAATTTTTTATATTGTTAAGTGCTATGTTACATATATTTAGTACACAACTAATAATGACTAATATATATATATAAAACAACCTTCGCTTGTTCTATTTAATTTGATTAGACTTAACCAAATAATAATTAGATCTGAAAGAATTAGGTAGCAGTAACTGAAATATCGATGTCCACAACTAAATAATAACTAACTTACTTCTGTAGCAGATCGCCAAGATACTCCGAAGTATGATATTTTGAACATTTGTATAAATCTTCTTCCTTTAAAACTCGCTTTCTTCCCTCGTTTATTATTGGGAAAACCCAACTGAAAAAGAAATAATTTAGTTATTAATGTTGTTTACCGTAATTTTCTTGTTCTAATAATTCTGAAACTGCTACGTTGGTACTCAACTTACCGTACAACGCAATGAAAGATATTTATCAACACAAATAATTTATCGTAATTGATTACAATGATTACGATCAAATTGTTTACTTTGTTAATTATTTTCCCAAATAATGACATTTTATATTTTGCTATTTTTTTAGTGAAAATTAGTATAATTGTTCAATTTTTTCAGTGTTTCTGAAAAAAACAAATGCATTTACGTTCAATAATAAATATTCTAAAGAATTCAGCAACGAGTTGCTTATCTTTTCTGGGAACATTTGGTGGCACCATCTATTATAATATTTTATTAAAATATCTTTTTATATTTTTAAACTATTGTTAAACGGCAAGAAGCTTCATTTAGAAAATAGGGACGGGTTTTTAAAAGAAATTGTGAATGCTAATAATCAGTAAAATCGTCATCAAGTCAGACCCTAAACGAGATATGACACGACCTCTTTATCTCTTCACCCGTTCGAGTTTTAACCACTAAAAGTTTATAGCATCAATCCCATTGTACGTGAACTATCCTTCAAAATATTAGAAAATTTTGACAGAAGACACGGCCGTTATTAAGCTTTTAAAACGGTGAAAAAATCGTGCTTTCTACACACATACTTACACATACGCAAACATAAACGCCGTACATACATAAAAAGACGAATTTTTGTATGTCTTGCCGTTTTAAGATCACGAGTAAAAGAAAAACCGAGTAATCTTGGAAGCTTATTTTATGACCGATGGTCATACTTTTTCTCTTTCATATATAACAGCCGGGAAAGTGAAAATACTGCTAAGATCATCAAGTATATATATTTTTAAAATTCTAACTCAAAAATAAATTACTTTATTTAAAACAAGTTATGTGCATCAAAATTTGACAGTGATTCACAGTTTATAAATTTAAATTAAGGAATTTTTGTATTCAAATTTAAAGACTAACAGATTATGCACCATTGGAAGAATTAAACATTTATATGCGACTGAATGATCTTTGAACAAGTTAACACAATCTTTCATTGATTGTAGACACAACGCAAAAATTATACTTATAAATTCTATTTTTCGGTTTTATTTATTTTAAAACACAATATGAAGTTATGCAAAAATCTAATTGATACTACAAGATTCTACCAAAATGTGAGAGAAAATACCAGGCATTTAACTTCCAAACTTCAAACCCAAAAGCTGAAAAAACACTTTTCAATCAGGTCAAGTAATTTCCAACATTAATAACTGTAAATGTTTTTAAAGTCTGTGCATTTCAATCATCTAATCCACATGCAGTAGAATATAAATGGTATATCTAGGGATCAAATATCTCGTAGATAAATAAACTATCGAAGAAATTATGTCAGGAATTATTCATAAATAATTACTTAAAGTTTTTAAAGCAGGTCGGTTTAGAAAAAATTAAGGAACTTTCCTATATCAGACGAAAGTTGTACAATTCATTTGCAGGCCTTGTTGTCTGATTAAATATATAATACAGTGAAAACATTTGAGAGTTATTATTCATAATGTATTCAAGATTCATGTATATTACAGTTGTTTTATTCACTTCATTTATTAAAACTCAGCGTAATAATTGTATTATCTGATAACAGCTTTAGCAACAAAAGTCTACCGACCTTTGAAGTAAAGAAAGTTTTACAGTCAGGCAATAGAATAAATGATTTATTTATATTTTTAAAAATATTCGTTTTCATTATACCAAGTATTAAATGAACTCGTATAAAATAACACAAGCAACTTTTAAATTAATGAGCAGAAAATTTATTTCACAAATAACTTTTAGTTACAAAATCTCTCGACAACAATAAAATTTTCAATAATAGAATAAGAAAGAAATTCTAACGAATTTTGATGAAAATGTTTCCTCGGACGGTGAAATTTTCACGAATATAAAATATAATATAATTTATACATTAAATTACGGTACCTGTTTCTCTCAATTATTAACTAACTGAATGTAACTCTTTAATGTTTTATCAACGTTCATATGTAGAGGTCAATGGAATTTCCTTCGTCTTCTCAGTAATAAAATTTTACAGTTTTTTTCGTTTAGGAAAGCATTCTGTGAGAGCCGAATTTAATAAAAAAATTTGTTGTCGGAAAACCTTTATTTTAAATTATAATATATTGTTGTTCAAATCCAGCTCATTTAAAAAATGATTGATTAAATCGGCGATTAAACTGTTTTCCACGGACTTAGTTCCTTGTTGGGAGTGACACATCACACGTGTCACTTTGACTTAACGGGCGAAACTTGTTAATTGGATCCTTAATGCGAAAACTGCGAGTGAAGTAATGGGGAAAACCCAGCAAAGATCCCGTATAAAACGGAGGGAACGATGACGATCGGGGCTCTTTTCGTCATCAGCTGTGGACCTTCTTATATGTGTTCATGTGCATCCCTCCATTGCCATCCTTAACCCAAATCTGGATTAACACCTGAACTTTTGTCAACGCCTAAAGTTAACCTCCACAGGAAATTATTCAACGAGAACCTAATCAGACTCTAAGTATGTATTGCCACGCGTACCTCATGTAAACTCTCTCTCGAGCTGTTCGAAAGTCTAACGATAAGTAATCCTGTAAACAGACTTTATATTTAAACGGATATTTGTTAAACGAATAACCTTGTGAAGTACATTTCTTCTGGTGTTCTTCCGTCTCCCATCCGAATCTAACCTGAGACAGCTCAAACGAGAGAACGAAACGGTTTCTGTGTCTGCCCATAAAGACACAGTTGTGTCAATGCTGACGGAAATTTGTTATCGCGATCTTCGCCGACGCGATATCGACCCTTTGGTCCTGTGATGCCAAAGAATAGGGGGGGCCCTTCGTCATTGTCACAATTCCATAAAATTATAAATATAAAAGAAAATGAATTTAATGCGGCACTTTAATTTGTAACATTCAATTTTTCTTTAAATTTTCATTGATTTTTGCATTCTGCCATTCTTGAAAAGTTTTGGTTTAATTGTTCATCTCGTTCGTTCATTTCCTTTTCTCCAGTACATGTCACTCGAAGCAATATCTTGTGCATAAACCGACTGCACCTTTTGTAACATCATTCCATTTCCGTCTTCAATGGAAGTGAAATAAAATTTTCTGCTCATTTAATAAAGCACACGAATGAATCTGTAAACATTCATCACAATGTTTCAAATTTCTTTTTCCTTCTGTTTTCAGGTGAACGTTCGACGTTTCAATTTGTGTAATTTTTCTGTAAACACCCATTTTTCGATTTGTGTAATACGAGAATCTTCTCTGTGTATTACGAGTCGTCTGATCGGATATTGGATGCGCAAAGTCAAGTTAAGTATAAAGAACAGTCCAAACATTCTTAATAAAGACAGAATAATTCAAATAAAATCGCATTTTTGATTAAAAATATCTTTGGTTAACGTGCAACATTTCGTTGAATAACAATAATATTTAACAATGTTCCATCTCCCTTGTTGACAGCGATAATTGTTGACGACATCTTCGTACCTTTGCAGTCGAGAAACTCTATAGGTAGCAGCATGAAAAATATGAAATAAATTGTATGTAGTCCTCAAATTGTGTTTTCCGGTAAAGCTACTAATGAAATAGATAAAATGCTTTAAACGATGCTAAAGGTCAGTAAAATATGTTACGAACGAAGGAGCACGGTTATAAAGGATAGTAGAAGATATTGCCACAGAAAATAAATTGCTTAAAGCACATGTACGAACGGTAAAATAGATGAAAAAATAATTAGAGATAGAGTATAAGAAAAAGCCAAGCTTTGTGTGAGAACACAGGACGTCGTTACTTTGAATTTTAACGTCCGCTCACGTTGTCTAAGGATGGCTTTTTCGAGCTTATGTAGATCAAGTTTCAGAAAAATCCTAATTTTGTCAAGACTAAGCCGAGTTAAACGCGAGTTAAACCTCAATTAAACTAGTTAATCGCGGTTGAACTCGCGTAAGTTAAAGATGGTTTTAGGAGGGCTTTTCTTACGAGTGGGAAGTGTCAAGATACACCTTCTGTTCTTATAAATATTTAGCCTAATCTATACGCGTGATAGAGTGTTATATCAATCTAACATATACTACCTTCACAGTGTGAGACTTTCTCTTGTCTTCAGTTGACTTTATGTTCTTTATGTCAGAGAGATCGGGACTAAAATGTGAAATTTAATAACTTTTATGAACCTAGTATAAAGTATTGTTGAGACTTATTATGGCTGGTCTATATTCGATGAAAGGCGTTCTATGTCATCTTCATATAATGGAGGACTGCTTGTCGTCTATGCGGCAATGTCGGATTTCTATTGACTGCTCAGAATAGTGGAAAAATTCCCCTTTTATTTAGACGAGCGCACAGGGTATCTAACGACTGCAGAGAGGGTAAACTGACACGACTATATGAAATAGCGATAAGACGTGTGGGAAAATTGCAAGGTGCTGAATTAACTATAGACCAGTTTATCGGGACTGACATGAATATTATACCACGCGTTACTTATATCGCAGAACGGTGTAATAAAAGCGTCTGTATGTTAAAGCAGAGCATTAGAAAGAGTTGCGCTCCAGTTTCAGGACCCTGTGTATTATATATATATAGTTTATTTATAAGTGTTTTAATTTACGATATGTTATCATAGTAAAACTCTATGAAAACTGTTGTATACCTTCTTAAGGCGCACTAAGTTGGTGCAGACTGTACCAAATGCAACATTTTCAAAGTATAAAATCCAACATAATATTGGAGGGTGTCGACAGCACCACACTGACATAGATCATTACCGACGTGGTGAAACGTCTTAAGGGTTAGTATATAACCTGTTTTTTTAAACAAATATATTAATTTATGGTTTCACTTACATTTTATGGCGTTGGTCTGGGTGCACTAATGTTTATGGTATACAGGTTTAGATATGCATAGTTTTAGCTTGAATATAAGTATTATATATATACACCATATAGGATTTAAGTGCAAACAGTTTATACACGTTTTAATTTTATATAGGTTAATATAAGTTTTATTACAGGTTTTTATGGTTTCACTTTCTGCTCGGGAAAGGCACTTGGTTCTGCAGCAGTGGTGTCCATCAACGTCCTGCTACTGATTTAATGTATTATATAGAGTGCATAGCAGTTCATGTAATACATTATAACTGTATTATAGTGCTATGCGCTATATACAGTTTATATGTTTATAGTTCTATGCGATTACAACCTGTAAGGTTTTCAGCGCATGGCACTATAAATTTCTGATCTAGTAGAGGGTGGTGTTGCATGGATGTCGGTAAGACATTCTGGTACCCAGATACAGAAAATGGTGATAGTAAGACCACCTGGGACAAAATGTATACCCTTGATTACCTCTCTTGAACACGATGTTGAAGTTTACAAAATAAATTTGCGTAAAACTACTTTCTGCTACTTTAAGGATCAATTATCCTTTTTACTGTTGTTAACTGTATTAACAAAGTTCCTGTGCATTAGCAATAAATAACGAAAACATTGAAATAAGCAAATTAACATACGGTTATATTAATGGAAGGGAATCAAAAATGCATAATTATATATATATTTATATAGGCCTATGTATATAAGAAAACAATGTAAAAATAAAACTACTAAAAAGTTTATGAAAACAATGAAAATAAATAAATTACTGATGAAATGAATTTAATAATCTGTCAGAAATATAACGTTAATTTACTATCGACCAAAAGTAATTTAATTGATATTATAAAACTACTACTGAAGATTTATAAGGCATAAATATATCTAACTTATAAATATTCTCATAGTAAAATATCTTCCATACTAATTGCGGCGTGCTATGAACGATTTTAAATTATGCAACGTGTACTTTCAACAAACGGTTTTTTATAAGGAAAGATCCGACACGTACAGTACATTACAGAGAAAACTTTAGCATTAAATATAAAGAATATTTTATTTTCTTCATCTGTTGAGTAATTTTTCCTATATGTAATAATAAGTATCTTTTCATTAAGTATAACACTGTGTAATTCTATATTTAGGCCTATGCAATAATTTGATCTTATTAGCAATGTAAAACGTTTGTAAATTGTTTAAGTTGTAATAATGTAAACGATAAAATTCTTTACTGCTTTCTTGAAAAATTAGCTTTTAATAACTAATAAAATGAAGTTTTTTTATTATATTTTGCATAATATATTAGGTTAAATAAATAATTAAACACTAATCGAACACAGAGTACATCTCGTGTTTGATAAACCAAATAATTTTAATTAAATCTCTTTGATTTATCTGAAGAATCTATAAATCCCTATCAATATATACTGCATGTTTCTTCAATTAGCTTTTATTTGGTAAAAATCAAAAAATTAAATACAACAATAATATGAAATTTGTATATATATATGGATTATAACATAAAATAACAGAATGAAAATATGAGGAGGTTTTGTTTTTGAAGATTACTCCTGAGTAAATAACTTAATAGTTATTTGAATTACAAAATTTTAATTATTAATCAGAGAAAGTAATAATACATACCAGAAAAATATACGAGAGAAAACACCAACAGTATCGAATGGGTTACTTTTTTCTTTCCTTTCCATTCTCATCTACACTTTTCTATACACTTTTCATATGTAGTATTTATTACTCGTCAAACCTATATATCTATTCGATGACGTATAATATTTATATTAAAGTGTAAAGGTTTTGCATGTTATTTACGTTCAGAAAACCTTGAAATTACGTCTAGACGTTATATGAAATTAAAATTTTTGAAACGTAATCAAATGTGATATTTCTTTTAAAAATAAGTGTTATACTGTAATTACAAAATAGAAAATAAGCTGAATTTTGAGGGTTGAAATACGTTTTTATAAAATTGAACGTAAATACTAACGAACAAAAAGTTCCTGATTAAATTTGACCCCTCCTGGAGATACGAGAGAACTTTTCTCTGTCGCCTCACCCCGTTGACTTTTAACCACATAAACTTAATAGCACCGACGTCCTTTATATACAAGCTAAAATGTTATATTTCATTTTATAATCATTACCTCATCCCGAGATATCAAACGAAACAGATCCAAAGACAGACACGCACTTTACGTACCGTATGTATGTCCTACAAATCGCGTATTTTGAAATCCCGACCCAAAAAAAGTCTAAGCCAGGTAAATATTTGGAATCTGATAACATAAAGATTTGCCAAAAAGAAACAAGGAGGGTCGAATTTGATACGATTCCAATACTTTCCCACGTTATATACATAACAAACCGAAAAAGTAAAAGCTAAGAAGCAATTAATTAGATTTTAAATTTAAAGTTAGCCACGATCGCTGCAGATAAAATGACATTCTCATCATTCGAGTGATGTCAATAAGTGTTCTGGTACACTGATTAAAAACATTCCCAATGCGTTATTTATTTGAAAGGAATTCGTCGTCATGTTCGAAAATGTTCGATTAGCTAATAAAAAGCTGCATTTATAAGTTTCTTGTCGATACAGTGGGTGATCGGTTAACGAACATAATCCGTTGCAAGACTTTGTTCGCTATCCGAACTTTTCGTTAACCGATTATCGATTTACCATAGGTTTTAATGAGAATTTAATTAATTCGTTCTGGAGACCACCAAAAATGAAAAATTTATACTTTCTTATTACGTTTATTTATATGTAATAATAAAAATCCATACATACATAGTCGTGCATTTTTATTAGTTATGTTTTTTACGTTTGAAACGGTTAAAGAATCTGTCTAATGATGATTGCTTTTCTCTCTTCTTCAGGATTTTTCGTAAGTAATTAATAGCATTGCAATTATAAAAATCCCCAAGCCTCAACCTGCTATGGATGCCATTCTAAGACCGTTGTTCCGACATCCTCACACTTCTTCAAAGGATCTTTACTAACAGATATCGGCATTAATCCTTTTTTTCAGAAGAAAACATATCTCGCCGAGTTAATTGGTGTTCTTCATTCGAGAGTTCTTGTCGTTCTTCTGTCGTCAGATCCGTTTCGGGTTCCGTTACGAAGTCTTCAATGTTCTTTATTTCTCAAATGTCATTTTTGTCACTACTTTAGCTGCTTGAGTATTCTTGATTATACAGTAATTTTCTTAAATAAGATTGAACTGCGGCCTACTGTAGACCCGTTTACGCCATACTGCCCAGCAACATTAGTTATCTCCTGCTCACTCTCTACCTTTGCTATTATATTTCGAAAAGAAAAACAGACGCAAAACTTAGTGTTTACCCAACAGTCTCACGAATACATAAAAGAATTGTTTTGTCAGAAAAATAAAAGGCTGGAATCACAATGAAAAGTTTCAAAGTTCAGAGGAATACTATCTGATCGGAATATACCGGCTTGTGCGGCGATGTCAACGTCTCCCACACTCCGAAAAGTTTCGAATTGTTACCTGAAGACAAGGAAAAATCAATCGGTATTCATTATTTTACGTCGTTTCTTCCTGTGTTTGTTCTGTAGCGTGTTCGTTATCCGATCATGTGTTCGTTGTCCGAACATTAAAATCTTCCGCGAAAGTGCTCGTTATCCGATTTGTTCGTTAACCGATCACTTACTGTATTTGATTATTATTTAATAACTGCAGTTTGAAAAGAGAGCCATTGTCTATATTTAAAATAAAAATCTAAGAAAAAATATATACTTAAGTAAAGTACAAATTATACAACATTCAAGACTCATACAAAAAAACTTTTATTTACCACCTCTAGAATGCAATCAACCGTATCTAAGTTGACCCCTTTTTATAGGCTCTGCCCCGTCTGTGTTTATATCAATTGTGAGACGTCAGATGACAGGGAAATTTACATCGCATAAAATTGTGTTTTAACGACTATGAAGGGATGTTTAGAAGACTTCAAAACTTAAATTTGTTTGTATAAATTTCTTAAATTGTATATTTGTACATTGTTAAACCATTTGTTACAATCGTAAAAATTATAATTTAAATAAAGCGATCATTAAGTTATAAAGAAATGTTAGAATTCTTCTAAACTTTATTTTTTTTGTCTAAATTTCTTAAATTGTATATTTGTACATTTTTAAACCATTTGTTACAATCGTAAGAATTATAATTTAAATAAAGCGATCATTAAGTTATAAATAAATGAAATAATTCAGTTAAAATGTATATATAATGTCTAATAAACATAAATAGGTCGAAGCGTAGTTGTGAAAGTGTTGTTTATATAAAAATCTGTCAGCGTTTTCTCATCGTATAAGATACATCTACTTGCAAATCAATTCTATAATACATGTATCCTGCTCTGTACGAAAATTTTATTTTATTACTCATTCCTTCAACGGCATATTACCTGATGCAAACTCGATTACTCTGATTTAATTAATAATTATAGTAATGCAAATCTCCTTTGCAAAAGCTGCAGCCAGGCATGCGCATACAATGTAGTTTAGAAAAATTAGAATTAAAATCATACTCGTTGCGTAAGGGTACGCTTACTTTGTCAATGCCTAGAATCGGCTCTGTGAATTGGTATCGCCAGTGAAACATAAATTATTTTTTACGGCATTTCAAGTTTTCGGCGTGCTCGAGACAAATACATTCTACAACTGCAAGTGCTGTATGTTATAAAATAATATTTTCTATTGTTTTGCACACTGCTGATGTGTAATCGTTTATTGAAGTCTTTTTATTAGTCGAGTTTACTTTCAATGATTTTCGTTAAGAATATTACCTTAATTAATTTTCGTGTTATGTATATAACACGAAAAAGTTTACAAATCATTTCAAACTTGAATCCCCACGGAGATTTCTTCAAATCTCGCGATATTGAGACTATGTAAACACAAAAACAAGTTTCTGTTTGTGTTTGGGTGTGTGTGAGGAAGAGAGAGAGTAGGAATGAGTTTTATAAGAAAAATTGTAAATGATAATAACGAGTAAAATCGTCATTAAGTTTGATCCTATTGGCGATATAACACGACCCCTATTTCCCTATTCCCTAGACTTCTAAGCATCATAATTTAATACGTTCGATGACTCTTAGTGTCAAACCATCCTGCAAAATTTCAGAAATTTTCATCGAAAAGCCCAAAACTTAATAAGCTCGAAACAGGGTAAACAAAATCTTGTTTCTCAAACAGAGTAACATTCATACACACAGAAACAATCTCTTAATTTTTTTGTATTTCTGGCAGTTTTAAAGCTCACTATGTCAAACATGTAATAATCTTGAGGGCTACTTTGTCTGATCGCTAGGTTTTATAATGAATGTGAGAACCCAAACGGGGTCTGAAAGCAGGCCATTAACAACTTTTTAAATGAGTCAAGTTTCGTAATGCAAAAGAGCGAACTTAAAGATCAGATTTAAACAATGAACCTTTTGTCTTGTTAAAAAATTTTAAACAATAGATAGTATAAAGTCGAGTAAAACGAGGTTGGAGAGGAGTCGGGTTCCGACGCGACGTTGACCTCTCCCGCGCCCTGCCTGGAGTTTCGAATTGTCACCATGTGACGAGGAGAGACCAATGGAGAGGCGACCACGGTGGAAAAATCGATAAAACCGCGTTTTCGAGAACTTTACAAAGTCTTGGGTTTTGGTGTGTAGTGCTCACCTATTGGGATTTGGTGCTCCTGACCGAGACGCAACGAAGGTTCTTCTGACGACCTAGGAACTGGTTTTGCCAACCCGTCCACTCTAGGATCGCCGAGGTCACGTCCAGAATCGTCAAGGTTCGACTTGTCAACCGAGGACATCACTACAAGCATTGGTGCGTGCCCCGGAGCCATCGTTCTCTGCGTCCACAGTGCCGAAAGCTTCCCAGGGACCAATCGAACATTCGAACTATCCGCTTAGTAGGAACTGTGACAAAACCCATCGTGGGATAGTCGCTTGCTCGCAGTAGATTGTTGTAAGAACGATTTATGTATATTATTAAACAGTTTTATATGGTAAAAAAAAACTTTGTAACGCGAAACCAAACGCGTGCCAGAGAAAAATGGATTCTCAGGCAAGAGTCACTGTTATTCTACTTGGCAAACAAAGGGAGAAGGGACTGACAGCTTCCAGAGCTGCCAGCTAAAATGTCGTTATTCCGTTACGACATTTTAAAATGGCAGGGAGCACTGTGAGGCTCTGGACAGGTCCGAACCGTCACTAAAATTCGCGTTAAAATAATTGGTTTAGAGAAAATAATATATTAGTTAAAAATAGATTTTTATGATACGAAAACGCAACGCTAACTTGAAACAATAGAAGAATGTAAGTCCATCGACCATTTCCAGTTGGAGATCGAATTAAACTTCGATTTCGACCTCTTCCGCGCCCCGGAAGGTTTTCGAATTGTCATCAGGTGACGACAGGAGATTAATAGGAAAGGGAAATCTGAGAGAAAACAGATAAAACCCCGGAAATTCGAGGATGCGACAGCTTCTTCTCCCGAAAGTTCCAAGTGACAAACCTGTTGTTGTGTGTCTGTCTCGCACCCATCTTCGTCTCCATCTCCCGACCTCGGATCGACAACTTTCCATCAACGGAAGTCGACCGCATCGTCCCGGAGTCATCGAGACGTGATGGAATGGTTCATTTGCGAACAAAAGACACTACTTCAAAATGGGACTATCTTGGAAAGAAGAGGAA